AACAACAAAACAACAGCAACAATCAACAACAAACGGCAAAACAGCAAACAGCAACAAACAACTAACAACTAACAACAAAAAACAGCTAACAACAAAAAGAATTTAAATAATAATCAGAATCATATTTTCTATTTGTGAAATAAAAAAAAGTTAGCAAAAGCTTTTTCCAAATGAGCAATGCAATTGCTCACCTCAGCTGTTTTAGCAACCATTTTAAATTGATCATCCACTGCTAAAATACGGAATGAATACAATGAGCCATCGTACATTCTATCAAATTGGATATTATAATCATCTGTTTCTTCGTCTACCATCAAATCATCATATTTTCGCCATCTGAAATATTAAATATCTTTTAAACAATTAAAATTAGGACAAAAAAAAAGTCTTCGTCTAAGAATGTTCATTCTGATATGATATTTTTGGCACAGATAGATACATCTCATCACTTTTTTTTTTTGATTTGCAAATAATTTCAAAATTCATATCATATCGATTTCTTCAGAATTTTATCGTCCATATATTAACGATTTAAAAAAGATTTTTTTTTCTCATTCTATTTAAATCATTAGAAACATATAAGTAATTGATAGAAATAAAAATGAACTGACTCAGTTTCATTTGGTAGACGATATTCAATGACAAATTTGGAAATAGTTTTTTGATCAGTTAACGAAGGCTTCCGCCATTGTACCGTAAATTGTTGCGCATTTTCTTGCTTAATCATTGGCTTCTCTGTCCAGGCTATACCCGCATTTTCTGATGTTTTAGCCGATAATTTATAAACAAGTTTGGGTTCATGATCGACAAAAGCTACTACACCAACATCATATTGCGTATCCGATTTTAATCGGACAAAAATATGGCTATTAGCCAAGGGACCTACACGTGTCCGTTCAACTGCTTGACTTTCACCATCCACTTCAACGGCTGTTACCTGAAATATAAAAACAAGTTTTAGAAATTTTATTAAATTTAATTCTTCCCGGAATTTATAATCCTTCAACAGGTTAAGATATGATAATCAAGAGAAAAAAAAACAAGCAAAATAAGGCAAAAATAAGCGATGCTATAAATACAGCATACAATATCAATGTAAAAAATAAATACAGTATCAATGTAAAGTAAGTCAGAATAAATTAAATGATTACAGTATGAAACAGTTAATTTTATCAGTATACCTCGTAATATTGTAGCCTTTCGTCATCATATGGTTGCCAACTAATGCGTAATTCTGAATCTGTCCGATAATCAATTTCTATTTCATCGGATTCATTTGGAGCTGAAATAAATTGCACAGCGGATATTTTTGAATTGTTTTTTTTAAATTAAAAATGAAACATTCTTTGTTATGATTTAAATAAAATAATTTATTAACAAATTAAATCATGAAGTTAAAATTTAACTTTAGGATTAACCTTCTCCTTCAGTTTTTGCTATAAGCAAATAATCACTCCATGGACCTAACATGCGTAAACGATCTGCAGCTCGAACTCGAACTTGATATTCGGTCCCAGGTAAAAGACTGGTAACACTAACTGATGGATGTGTTACTGTTTGTCGATGAACGTCAAACTGTGTTTCAATACCAGCTAGCTGGAACAAATCTACCACATTTCGGTTAATAAAATTGAATTATTCATTCTCTATAAAAAATTCAATTATACAACTAAATTTGTTTTAATGGAAAAAATAAATAAATAAATTTGAAAGTAATAGAAAGGTATGTCAAAAAAATGTTGAGATTTGAATGTATAAAATTTCATCAGAACTTTATACAGTATATGCTTCATGCAGATACGAAACTTAATATTTAAATTATTTCTGAAAAAAAGTCAATGATTTTCAATATGACTTAACAATTGTTATATTTCCGGAAAAGGAAAAAACAGACCTCAACGTGGTACTCGCCAACAAAACCACATTCCGGAGGTTCCCATGATATGGCAATACTGTATTGACCTGTTTGTGTCACTTCAAGATTTCGTGGAGCTGTCAATTCATCTGTAATTTAGGAATAGACACTTAATAGAGCAAAAATTTTAATTTTATAAACAATCAACATATTTTTAATTATAACAATGATAACTGTTAGTATAAAACTGGCGCAATCCGTGTTTTACATTAAGATAATTCGTAAAATTAACCCAGTTAATTAAGCTAATTAGAAAGTACAGCACTTATATTGAATAGCGTTAAATTTTGCCTTTTTTGAAATCAAAGAAAAAGAAAGGACAATAGAAATTTTAAGAAAACAAACCTGATTCACATTTAATGCTAACCATTTCGTTACGTGCGCGTATTTCTGGCGTTTCCACCAGAATTTTACCATTTTTACCTAATACTTTGATACGTACAAAATAAGCGATTCCAGTTGGAAGACGTGGAATCTGTAAAATTTTGATGATTTATATTCAACCAAGCAAATCTGATGTTCATTTTCCTATTTGTCAACTTTCACAATTCATTAAGAATAACAATGGAAAATTGTTTTTTTTTTCGCGACAGATGTGAAATTTGAATTTTTTTTCACAATTCATTAAGAATAACAATGCAAAATTTTGAATTCTTTTTTTAATGTTGAACTTCTTCACAGATAAGCTTACACGGAAATTTTACCTCTAAAAGGAATCAAAATAATAATACAAGAATTACCTGTACTCTATACTGCAAATTAGGCCCTTTATAAGGAATGATACCATCGTGAACATGCCATTGTGTGTCCTTTTCTGCACGATACTCAACCGCGAATCCTCCAACACTATCATCAGGATGATCACCGGTCTGAATACCCTCCCATTCAACGGTTAATAAACTTTGGGACCCACCTATTTCTCGTCGCAATCGAAAGCGAGGTTTGTTACCTGAAAAATTCTGTGCTCATATCACCAAAAGATAACAATCATTGGATGCATTGAAAAATTCAAAAATTTCAATTTCTTCAAAATAGTATCAGTATTAAATTATTAATGGTAGCTTTAATTAACTAAAAATATTAGCTTATTGCAAAAAATTCAACTTTTTTTTTCTTATTTGCTTGCATTTTATCCCTGTGAATAAGTAACACTATTAAATAGGAGAAAAGAAAGTTCAATGAAATTGAATGAAAATTTTGAAGTGAAAAAGAGTAAGATAGAAAATGTTAGCATAGTTGCTGCATTATGTAATTTGCATGTAAAATGTTGCATTTTAGTTGATATCATTTAAAAAATTCACCGAAGAATTTCAATAACGACATATGGTAAATAAATAGAAAAGTACTTGAAAAGTGTTCTGTAGAAAAATAAAAAAAATAAAATTTGAAGAAATATTAAATTCATCAAACCTCTTATCGCATAAATGAGAATTAACGCGACGAAGAGCTTTTGAAGGCTCACCGAATACGCGCTCATCCTGAAATTAATTTGTCATTAAACGAGGCCCAATATTGAATTCAAATTGAACGTATAATAAGCTAATGAAGCGTAAAAGTATGCAGAAACGTTAAAAATTACCAAATTTATGCTATTATAATAAAATGAAATTTGCAATTTTAGGAGAAAAAAAAAAGCTTGAATTCCTCAGTTTATTTACTAGATTAAAAGGAAATTTATGTTTGGAATTTGCCCTAAAGATTTTTTTTTCCTTTGCTATCATTTTAACTATCACTACTTTTTTAGTGGATACTTTCATCTTAATGAAAAAATTTGAAATCACGTCCCATATATGAATGAAATCGAGAAATATAACATAAATGAATGAAAATATGAATTTAAGTGAAACAAATAAAAGTTGTGAAAATGGTCAGATAAATTTGATATGAAAAAAATGTAAAAAAAAGTCAAAAATTATAGGGATAATAATTCATCAATTAATTAATTACGCGTTATTTATTCTATTGCTGCAAAAACATCTAAATTATATGATACAATTATTTCTCGGATAATTTCAGCTTATTTTTCAATGAGAAATCATTTAAAATAAAACATGCACATAGCATTAAAAAATTGATAATCCATTTCAATTTATTTATTTAAACGCATGGAATTTAACAGTAAATAAGAAATTATGGTTTGAAAATATAAAATAATTAAGAAAAAAATGGCAAAATTTGTAATCATTTCTTTTCCATTCAAAGATTTATGATCCTCTTTCTTATGATCAAAATTCCATTGCAAAAATGAAAATTCCCTCAAGGGATGTTTATATTTCGATTAATGGACAATCAAAATCAATAAGAGCTACAGAAAAAAATTTTATAAACAGGATTTTAATAAATTAAAAACATTAATATTATATTAAACCAAAAAGAATAGTTTATAAATTTATCATTCATCAACAAAATTGATGACGGAAATTGTGTTTTAATAAATTCAATGTTTCACTTTGAATAAAACTGTGAAAGTATTTTACACTGAAATTATTTTTGATAATGCTAACAATGCATTTCAAATTGATAATAATTTCGCCTCTCATTTTTCTCTCCCTCTCTTTCTTTTTGTCCCTATGAAATTTTTTTTCATTTTTATTACTAATTTTCAGAAAATGAGAAAAAAGTCTAACCGATTGCAACTTTTGATTGCTTGCAAATATTAATAATATTAGATAGCTCTCTTAGAAACAAATCACTTTTTGCAATAAAACATTTTTGTAAGCAACAAATTTTCAATCATTAAAATCATTTTTCACTCAAATGAAATGATTTGCATGATATTCTCGGATAATTACACTCAAGTAGTATAATTCATTTTTAATCGAAAAAATGAAATTAACAATTACCGACCACAGTATGCATATTTGTGATTTTTAACAATACAATATCAACACCATTGTGAAATCCTTTTTAAATTTCTACCGAAGAAGTATAGCAAAATGGAAGAGAAATTTTTGCTGAAATGTAATCGTGCAAAAAAAAAAAAATCACCAACACATTCAGATGAAAATACAAAAATTCCTTTTAAAACCCGCTAAATCTCTTAACAGCTGTAACCAATAGACGAAAGTTTTTGGAATGAATAAATGCATTCTGAAATTCGATTTCCGCAAACAGACTTGTTAACATTCGAGCAAAACATTTTTGTTTTTTTTTTTT